GTTAGTTATCAAAGTGTTTTCAGGACTGGCTCACATTTGTGAGTAGGTTGCGAACACCAATAAGCAGTCTTTGGATTCCCGTGGCATTTGCGAATGAATTAAAGGATTTACTTCGCAACTACCGAGTAGGTGAACAGACTTTAAGGCAAGCTACCTCCGGTGAAGAAAAGAACACGATAATATTTACCAGTCGTTGCAAATTATGTGATTTATTCTATGTAACCGTACTCACCCCGATCCGATAATCCGATAAATAAATCTCCTCGTCCTGCTTATATCCCGTACCATTACAACGGTCGGTGCCATCTCCAGGATGAAGGTTCCATGACCTGCAGCTTTTAAGGATGGGGACACGCGAACTTTCCTGGAGGATTCGGACACCCCGGTCAACCGCCAGAAGTCATCACGGCGCTTCTGGACGGCGCAACTTGCAGTGACCATAAACCCTCTGTCCCACGTTAAAGCTTTACGCTACCTACTGGATGAAGTGCCCCCGAGCACTGCGTGAATTACTTCTCGATTGTTTTACGAAGAGCCTGCCTGAAGTTCTGCGAAAGACGGCTCGCATAATTAATACCGGGAATACCATGGGTTTATTCAGACTAACTGTTGCCGATTGTGTGCAACTTTATGTACCCCTATCCGATGCCGTTCGACAAGTAAATGACCCTCTTCGTCCCAGCATTGTCTTGCGGATTTGCAACAAAAGTGAAAGAACGCGAAGCGGCTAGCCCGCGGTTCGTCCTTTGACGAACTCTCTGTCTCTCTTGGGGCCAAATGTTAATGCGATCTATTTTTCCTTTCGCGGAATATCTCATGAAATGTGTCATTTGCAGTCAGAAAAGTAGATGTGTTCTATCAAGTGGCTGCATAAACTCAATAAAACATCGTGAATAAGCATGTGTTTCTCTCTAATGTGTGTTAAACTGAAATCATAATAAAGTACGAAATTCATACAAATCAATAATGGATTACTCTTAACGCCAGAAACATTCCGGTACTAAGTCTTGATGGCGAACAACGATTTGCAGTCTACACTGTTTGCCATGAGAATATTTCGGCATTTGAAAGACAACAAATTACTACCCAATCACATTTCCCGCTTTGGCATTATTTATCATTGATGCACTTCTGCTTCACGAGCACTATTCATTAATCGTGTTGAAGAAATCCTGGATAGGGAGATTATTTGCCACTGATTGTATTCACCGACAATAATGTCTTACGGGTTACGGGTTTTGGTTCGTAAAGTTTGAATTTAATGGGAAAACCAACCTCAAAAGCATAATTATTTAAGTCCAACAAATAGCATTCCAAATGCACAAAGGGGATTATAAAAACTATACAGATTTACTCTTCTTTATCCTTAGTAATTTATGGATGCTTACTTTAGTTTTATTTCTGACTAGAGAACGTTTATGCTGTTGGGAGACCTGTATTCAAATCCTGTCTACCAGCTGGCCAAATTGCTTTCAATAACCCAAAGATGTTAGCAGATGCGCCCTCATTTACATTGATCTGTTTCTTGTTACTTAAGCTGCTTTCTGCAATTCATTTCGCTCGTCGATTCACGGAATCCACATTAGTCTACAAACACGTCCCTAGGCATGATTGAGATCAGAGCGAAGAATCGTGGGGAGAAAGGTTTTCTAGCATCTAATGGCCAGATATGTGTGATCAGTTGGATATCATGTGAACTGAAGGAATGTGGAAACACTCACGGTGATTCATTCCTAAAGTTATCCACGTTCAAGTTATAGTTTACCGATTCAATGTGAAAATGTCTCCTGCGAGTACTTACATCTTGGGTAGATTACAATTGTCAGTGAATTAGGTTCAGTTCAGAAAAATTGGGTAGTTAACAACTGGTCAATTATGGGTTAAAATCAGAGCAAACATCAAAATAGAAAAGGTAAGTTGTAATGGGAACATGTGTATAATCAGGCAAGGGGATGTAGCACGGTAACTACAAAGGCAATAACCATTGCCTTTCAAAACGGCCTTTTACACGTAAAACGCATAAAGACAAGCCATCGATAAACCTAAGCACCCTGAACCCAGGTAGTCCCAGTGTTGTGAGATACTACTCAAATTTTTGAGTAATACACAGAATGATACGATTGGCGGCTTCTTTCAAACGTCAAAAATGAACAAGACCACTTAGAACGAATTCTTGTGCTCCAAATAATACCTGCGGTCTGTTCAATTAATTATCCTATGGCTGCTGGGAATTGTGAAGACATGTTCAAGATGAGTTATCTTGTTATATTTTCCACCAAATTATAGATATCCTAACTGTGGTTCGTAGTAAAAAAACTGTCCTCGTCCAAGTACAGCCTTGTGGAATTATAACACAAATATAGCACGGGACACTGTGAACTTACTGATACTGTACCCAATGTTCAATAAATGACGTATCAGCGCACCTGTGGTATGTTTGCAACTTCAAAAAGCCTGTGTTGTCACATATGCTTCCGAACCCGTTGATTGGTGATATTCAATCATTTAGGCATACAGTGTGAACCACAAAAATAACAAAAGGAGTCAACGCAATTGCAAGGGACTGAGCTTCTGTAACTGTCAGTGTTCAGTTAGGTGTTCACTATCTCGTATACCATGATTTGCTCCGTGGCAGAAAAAATATCAGGTCGACTGTAGTAAGGAGTTTTCGATAAATCCGTACGAATACTTGATTTCGTTTGAATGGTACACTAAAGTGCTACTTTAGGTCTTGGATAAGCTAGGCATCCAATGTTTGAATTACTCCCAATGTATTGCGACTAACGAACGAATAACAAGCCATTTCCCCCCTCACTCATTTTCTAGCACTTCTGGAGTGTACATGCTATTACTCTATAAAGTGTAGTTCATAGCAGTATACTACGGATTTTATAGGCCAAAAGCTGCAAAGGGAATAATACTCTCCGATCGATATACGGAGAACGCCTACTCCAATTTGGCGCTGATCACGGACTGTTTCTGTCAAGCACGAACTCTTCGCCTTACATAAAGACAGCTAACCCATTCACAGCGCTGGACGCAAATCAATCACACCGCCATCAGCCACCGCTGGCGAGGATCGATTGAAGACTCCTACTGGTCAACACCCGTGGACACGGATCATGTTCTGCCACGAGCGAGATTCTCCCTACGCCTAATCAGGACCAGTGGTCCTGATTGAACTTGACAGACATTGTTGCAATCTCATACAGTACCTCTATTATAGATTTGATTATGGGAACAGCCCTATCCTCGTGCGAGGATAGCGGTATAGATTTACTCCCGAGTGGCAGACTGTCTGATCTACAGTATGCAGACGACATTGTGCTGCTAAGCGAAAATCCAGGTAGGTTACAGGCTTTCCTGGATAGGTTGAATGCTGGTGTAACCATGTTCGGTATACGTTCTGCACCTTCGAAGTGAAAATGTTCCTACAAGACTGGGTTGGTCCAGCCTCAAACCTCAAACTGACTGGGGAAGTAATAGAGCAGGTGGAAAAGTTCTGTTACTTAGGCAGCTACATCTCAGCCGTTGCACATATCACGTGTCGGCGCGTATACAGAAGGCTCGATTGGCATTCACCAACTTGAGATATATGTGGTGCCGT